ACTTCTCGCTGGTATTACACTCTGTCGATGGTCTGCCGCAGACCGATCGTATGTCTTTCTTCGACTCATTCATACCTTTTATTGCCCCGCTTTTAGATGTTAACCTGCACATAATCGTTGGTGACTTTAACCATACTAGCGCTCATCCACTTTTATCACTGGGTATGACAGATCTTTGTCAATTTCCCACAGGAGGTAACTCTTTACTGGACAGAGTAATTAATAACCACCCAACTCTAGTGTAGTATCGGAGGTCGACGCATACCGGTCAGTGAGACCATTTGCGATAGAAGTGGACAGAATATCCACAATAGAGAACGCCTTGATCGATGAGCAGAGTATTTTATTGAACAGTTTAATTGGCCTATTGCTAATGCGGCAATAGTTTTTCTATAGACGAAGGTACAGGTGGAACAAAACATTTTTCGTTCAGGACGAGCAAATAGCTGGACCCAAGCCATGAACAACTTTTTAGTGTATACACTAATCGGTCAGATTTATCGCGGACCCTCAACTGCTTGTGAACCGTAAGATCAATCGGAGCACTCACAGTTATACCGACCACAGCAAAAAACATTCTAAAAGAGAACGCTTAAGTCAGAGAAGAAATAGGAAAACAGTATTTTTCTGCAACATAAATAATCACGTGTTTGACTGTTATGCTGTTGCGGCTTATGGCGGGAAATTTGAGTCTTTATGCTAAGAGTGCCGGACTACATACTCTTGGGAATATGTACTAATGATGAAAGATTTCGTGACAGACGGATAAAGAGAACTCAGACAAGGTGTTTAAAATGGGGTCAATTCTCTGACGAGAAATGAATTCACTCCAAGCAAGTAATATAATCTCTGTGCCTGGACGTCTCAATCAGAAATACATATCTTCAGACTGAAAATGAATGATACGGAACAGCAGACGAACGTTCAAAGACATACCAATGGCATTTTTCATTGTTTTCCAGTAACTGATCAACCATTTGTTGCACGCGAATGAACCATGTGGGCAGTGCACGATAAATCAGTGGTGTATCCGACCTATTCAGTAAGGGGATATAAAAAACGAGCGGGGAAATTAGACAGTTGGACACAGGGACAGCAAATCAACTTTTAACACCATTATTGAATTGTTTTTCAAGCAGTCGTTCCGTGTTTTAATGTGAGTTAACTTCGTGGATCAATAATTACCAAAAGCGATCGCTTTTAGTGCAAATCTGTGCCCGCAGTATTAACTTATACATTTAGGTTTTAACCATAGGGAATTCTGGGCCTTCAAACTATCAGATCCGAACGAAGTTTGGAGTGTATCGAAAAATCGATGCGCCATGTGATATGTTTTATATAAGTTGTAATTTTGAAAACACAGCGATGTCGGTACAGGTAAAAATAAGCCGACGTTTCGGTTGCCGTGGGTAACCTTTATCAAGGCCATTTTACAATCGATTGTAAAATCGCCTTGATGAAGGTTACCCACGTCAACCGAAACGTCGGCTTATTTTCACCTGTACCGACATCGCTGTGTTTTCAAAATTACAAAATATAATTCTGGGCCTATTTGTCGCATGTCGGTGACTGCATGGTTGATTCGCAAACTTCGAGGTTTGCGCTCTCTCACCGCCATTCAACTATGGTGGTATCCAGCGTTCTTACAGTTCAGTTACCCGATTGATGCCTCTTGTGGTTCGTCACTCCCAGGACCAAAGCTTGGGTTGCCGGTTAGCATGAGTAACCAATGGATCAACGTGACCGCTGTTGTTCACCACACAAAAGCTTGCAATTAAATTAAAAAGCTCTTTCAAATAGTGTTGCGTCGACCTGAAATAATGTGTTTCATGTTGTCCTCTGCCACGAACTTGTCCAAATTTGAAAGCGAAGTAAGTAGTGGCAAGCTACGCTTAAGACAGTCATAATTTTGCAATAAGCTTTTGTGGTTTGTATAGAGAGCTAAACGAGCTATACTATAACTTTCGTCGAATCACGATTCTCGCAATTGAGACTGATTTCTGGATGAAGCCGCTTGTGACCGTCGGGTCGGAAAAGGTTTAGTTGTTGAGTAACTGGCTGACGGGATCTATTCGTCGTGGTAGATCAAATTTCACAGTTAAAATTCGATTTTTTATTATTGTAAAATGAAAGATTATTAGTGTTTGCGTATTGAATGGTATAACAATATTACATAAGGTACTTGTTTAATAATGATTATTTCGAAAAAGTATGTGATGAACAGAAGCAGTAAAGAGAATGGTGCTAGTGGTTTTTTTATTGCGCACCAGTGTGTGATGAACAGTAGTCGGGGCGAACCCCATAGTCACGAAGACCTGGTGTTCAGTGACGGTAACCAGCAACCTAAGCCCCGGGGCTTGGAGGGGCGAATCACATAAGGCCTCGCTGGCTCAGGTGTGCTATAGAACCGGGCGATAGCAAAGCTGCCTACCACCAGATTTGAATGGCGGTGGCTGAGCTTGAACCTCGGACCACAGGATTCAAAGCAGGCACGGGACAGCGACTAAACCACTGTGCTACCACCACAGACGGTTTGTACGCTAAATTGTAGCATCGGGACTTGGCGAGGCGAACCCCACGTAGTGGCTTGACAAAATGTTTTGTTA